ATGTTCTATATGTTGAGAACTTGGAGTTTTTAAAATTGAAAACAACTCTATTTTTACAAATAGTACCAAGTGCTAATTTTGTCACTGTGTCATATGACTGTCTGGCTTTGCTTTATGGGACATCCCACTAGACCAGGGATTGAAAACTCAGATGTCCATGAGGGCCAGACACAAAGGTGAGCAAAGAAAGGCAAGTGTAAAGCTACTGAGAGGGGTGGGGCCTGGGGGAAATGGAGTGATAGAGTTCCAGATGATTGCCACATGTTGGGGGGGGGGTATTAGCATAACTTCAAGTTAATCAAGAGAAGCTAGAAGTTGGGATGCTCATGTGAAATTTTCAGATTAAAGAACCCCTCTGCCAATTGAATGAAGCCCATAAAATGCCAATTTACTGACCTCTGTACTAATTTAAGACTGTGTGACTCTGCCCAGTTGTTGAGTGGTTAGAGCATTGGCCTAAGAACCAAAGGGTCATAGGTTCAAGTCCCAATCAAGGGCACATACTTGGGTTGCATGTTTGATCCCCAGCTCAGGGGAGTGCATGCAAGAGGCAACCAATCCATGTGTCTCTCATCTCTCTCTCTCTCTCTCTCTCTCTCTCTCTCTCTCTCTCTCTCTCTCTCTCTCTCTCCTTCCCTCCCTCCCTCCTTTCCTCCTTCCTTTCCACTCTTTCTAAAAACCAATAGAAAAGAAAAATCCTCAGGTGAAGATAACAAAACAACAAAGACTTTGTGTATACAAGGTACAAGGCCACTTGTCAGTCTTGTTCTCAGATCTAGTCCAGGGCCTGCTTATCAAAAAACACTTGGCAGTTACTTGTTGAATACCATTCAATATGAGGCTGAGAAGTGGGTTTTGGGGGGAGTGACAGTTTGGTAACTTCCCTAAGACTTTGGAATTTGGCTAATGAAGCTCCTCTTGTTGCCTCTGTGAATATCGGTATCTTTCCTTTAAAATTCTGATCAGAAAGATGGAGATCATTAATTCATTTATGAAAAGACAGTACTGAATTTAAAAACAAAATCTTAAAAAAATAAAGGAAGTCAGCTTCCCTTATTTAAAAAGTTGTTGCAGAGAGAAAGAAAATGTTTTCAGTATGATGCTGCAGATAAAGAATGAATTCGGGAGATTTCGAAGGTTAATATTTAATAACGTTTATATGTGACATTTGGGGAAAAGTGGCAAAGAAGGAGCATGGTGATAAATAAGACTCCGACATCACCATCCCCGAGCAAATAATGAATGTTCTGACTATGTACGTTGGGGGGCAATTTATCACGAAAAGACACCGCAGGAGACATTGCATCTGCAAGTGTACTGGAGGGCTGTCTTGTTTTGTTTAAGAGCATCTGGGTTCATCTCATCTGCTTGTCTTTAGTATGGAGCTCTGAGTTATAACCACAACACTCTCAGATGGAAGAGCTGCCTGCCTTGATTAAAAACTGCATTTTCCAAACCCTATAGGCTAAAACAATTGGGCAGAGAGCAAAAAGTCAAAGGTTCTCAGCCCTTTTAACTGCATTTTTGTTCCACCATTAGGTCTTTCCAATTCACCATTCAAGAAGCAGTAAATGCCAAAGAGCAGTCAGACAACTGAAATGCTAGTGCTTATTAGACAGGCTGTGTAGAATGATGGGCCAGCCACAAGGAAGGGTGGCAAAGAATGGCATTGCTGTGCCAAATGGCTCTCCAGTTCTTTGGTGCCCTTGCCTCTCTTTACTGCTTAGTCACACATTTCACATGCCGGCTTGGGAGAGAGGATATTTCTGCCTGATACAACTGACGTGAATTCCCAGAGCAAATAAGCAACAAGAGTAGCTAGCATTGCCTTACTGGTAGCTCCTGGTCTGTATTTTCCATGCAGTGACAGGTCTCATCCAATGTGCCCCACAATCTTTTTGTAGATCAGGAAACTGTTGACAAGGTGGAGTGACTATCATGTAAGTGTTTTACAACATAATAATGGAGTTAACAGATAACCTTTGTCTGCACTCTGTGTACCTTGCACATACCTGTATGTGCTGGCTTGTAATGTTTCCTTTACCTGCTTTCATACTCCAGTAGCATGTAAACTCCTAAAGGCACAGACATGCACCTGCCTTTCTGTATCTCGAAAACAATTAGAATGATACTGGGTATCTCTCTCCCTTCTCTCTCTCTCTCTCTCTCTCTCTCTCTCTCTCTCTCTCTCTCTCTCTCTCTCAATGCTTGGCTAATGTTGGAGTTCTTTGTAGTGGAATTTTGTAGTTATTGAACAGTTTAGGTTGGAAAGAATCTTAAGTTGTTGGACTAGATTATTGTTGGAGGCTCAACCAGGTGCTAAATTGATGGACGATACAAAAGAAGACCTGCCTCCTACTTGTGAGGAGCTGGTGATCCACTCCTAGCATTACCCTGCCCTGGTCCCTATGGGCTCAAGGACTGCCTCTGCCCCTCCTCTGGCCATGTCTGCAGCCCCACTGCAAGTCTATGGGACTGAAGCTCACACACTATCCTTTCTAGACCGTGTTCCCTATTCAGGATCCTGGATTCTCCTACCCAACTATCCCCAGGTCCGCTTCCAGGGTTCGACACCCAGGGACAGAACAGGGCTCTAGTATATGTCGCGAGGCCTACAGAGTGGCCAAGGGGCATCAGCTGGCAAAGTGAGGGGTAGCTGGAGCTTGGGCTGCATCCCATGGGGGTGGATGAGTCCCCCTGGCGGTGGGATGGAGCAGCATGAAGAGAAGGTGCTGAATCTCCTTAGTCTGCAGTCTTTCAACACAAACTCCAAGGACCCTTGGAGCTTTAAACCCAAGACAGATCTTGCAAGGCGTTTGAGGCCATATTTGTTCAGGTACAAGGAGACAACAGTCTTATTTAAGAGCTTATCAGATTGATTTACAACCATCAGTTCTATACCTGTGGGAGGAGGGCCCCATGGAACTGGAACTCCCATTAGGGTGGGTCCCAGGTCGGCCTGCAAAGTGCACACATCAAACACCTGTGCTGGGGACAGGTTCCGCCTCTCCCTGTGGGAAAGGACGGAGTCCTCCCTCACCCTCTGCATGCTGGCCCTTTGCCCTTGGCGGCTGGTGCAGCGCCTGGTGTCTTTCTATTAACAAAGACCACACTGCCCGCTTCTCACCTGAAACAAACCAGAGTTTTCACGGAGGTTTGGAGCTCCACACATGGAAAGACATGATCGGCTGAGGGCAATTTCGGAACGGACGTCTCGCTGTCCATGGGAAAGTGGGAGCTTTGTTCTTCCTTGTGTGTGACTTTCACCAAGAAAGGGGGACTGGGCGTAATGTCAGCACCGGGAGATTTAATGTGGTCCCATGACTGGAAAAATGCACCTCAAACCAAATTCTGCCTCACAACAGAGTCTGCATTGTCTGGCCACCTCCTCCCCCACCCCCACCCCTGTTTCCCATTCCTCAAGAAAAATACTGTGTTTTTCTTGCAAAGGTGACGCTCAGAACAGGCCTGGACCCTGCCTGCTTTCTCCAGCCGGTGAGTTCAGGCTGCTGCGCACTGGGCCAGCCTGGGTCGGAGGGAAAGCTGCCACGAGTGACAGACAGTCCTTGGTGGCGCTCCACAGCCTAGCCCTGCCGGGCGGAAGTGGGGTCCAGGTGTCAGATCACAATGGGGCACCCTCCATTTGGCCTCCCCATCCCAACAAGCCTCCATGGCATGTGTTTTAAATTAAAGTAAATTCAATTTCATTTGACTTTGACAGTGGGCAGAGGACGTCAGATGGCCCTTTGAGATGGGTGATTGGTGAGACTCTGGGGGCATCTCAGAAACCAAGGCGGTTCGTGTTGGGGACTGGCAGGAAAACCGAGACTTATTGGAAAAGTGGCTTTGGCCACATAAGTTTCCTCTGCTTACTGGCAGTTTATCCTCTGAATCTGGCTCAATGGCCTAATGAGCGAAGCATCTGCTGGGAACCCCCCTGGTGCTGCCTGGCCCGGCTGCTCCGCAGAGGACCTGGATGTGCTCGCTGGAGCGTAAACCCGGTCCGACCCTTATTGTTCGATGGCACGGTCCCTCCGCCCAGCTCCAGCCGTAAACAAAATGGTAAACAGTTTCGGGCCTTTTCTTCTCAGACCTTTCCCATGGCAGGTCCTGTCATCGCCGCCCTCACGGGCACGAAGGGGCCTCTGATGTTTGTCTCTTTGGGGCAGTGACGTTCGAGGCCAGGATGCGTCTCTGCGGCCATATCTGCGTGGTTGTTGTCCGGCCAGTGCCGGCTGCCAGGCTGGTATGGGCACTGAAGAAACTCGAGGACAGCTCGAGCCGGTTTGGCTCTGTGGATTGAGCATCAGCCTGCGGACCAAAGGGTCCCGGGTTCGATTCCGGTTAAGGGCATGGACCCTTGTAGGGGCTCATGCAGGAGGCAACCAATCAATGTGTTTCTCTCACATCGATATTTCTCTCTGACTCTCCCTTTCTCTTACACTCTCTGTAAAAATCAATGGAAAAATCTTCAGGTGAGGAATGAATGGATGGATGGATGGATGAATGAATTGATAGATAGATAGATAGGTAGATAGATAGGTAGATTCCAGGACAGGCGGGTGGTGCCAGGCTGAGGGTTAGGAAAGTGTCACTTTGGGTCACTGGGCCCGGCAGGCGGGTCCATGGGAAGTCTATGCTGGGGTTTGGGTGGGAAGGAAACAAGAACTACCCAGCAAAGGCGGTGACTAGGAAAGCCTAAAGGGTCCATGTGCTCATATGAGGCATCTGCTCCCCTCCTCCCCCTCCTCCCAGCCTGGCTGCAGGAGGGTGTGGAGAGGTCCTCTCTAGCTCCCCGGTCCTCCTCACCTCTCTATCCGGGGCCCCAGCACACTTTCTGGGGGCTGAGCGGTAATACGGGGTGAACAGTCTACTCCAGAAGCATCCTCAGACCCAAAGCGCAGGGGCCGGGTGAGGACCCCAGGCCCCGGAACAGTGCCAGGCCGCGCAGCTCGTGCGTCCTGCCGGGACCCGGATGCTGACTGCTCTGTGCTTTGCAGACAGACGGTGCCCTATGGACTGTCCAGCTACCGAGGACACGCCCGCGGCAGGAGGTCCGTGGCGCCGTTCCCGCAGAGCCCACAGCCCTCCAAGTGGACGCTGCGCTGTGCATGTGCGGCCAGCCCCGACCCCGCCTGCGAGCGTTTCTGCACTGGAACCCTGGCTGTCAGCAGGTACGGCACCCTGGCTGGCTGAATCACTCCCAGGTGCAGTGGTCCCGGGGCAGTGAGGCCGGGACGCCTGGCTGCAGTGCAGGGGGTGGCCGTGCCCTGACTGCTGAGAAGAGGAAGTTATAACCTGACTCGGAAAAACCAGCCACAAGGAAACGCAGGTGGCTTCATTAAACCAGCATCTCCCCACAGGAACTCCGGGGCCGAAGAAGAACTGGACCGAGGAGAGGCAGTGCTGGCCGGCGGGGTGGACAGAGGCCCGCATCGGAGGAGGTGATGCTGCGCCTTCGAGGGCACATGGGGGAGGGAGGGTGGCATCTGGCCTGCGCGGCAGCCAGGGAGAACCTCACGGCACATGGGCTGCCCTGTCTCAGGCAGGCAGGGTGCCTTTGCTAAGTCATCTCTGGGACAGAGCGGGTCAGGACTGTGGACAGCCACTCCTTGCCCTGCCCCTGGCCAGCCTGCCCTGCACCTTAGGCACTGACGCCGGGCATCCCTTGTGGCATCAATGCAGTGATGTCCACCCTGGAGCTCACTGGACCCGGCACAGCAAGCCAACTGCTGCCCCTCGGAGCCCTTGTCCATTTCCCCTGGCCCACACAACCCAAGGTCCCACAGAAACACAAATAAAACATTTCATAGATTGTAGATGTAGATGTAGATGTAGATGTAAATGTAGATATAGATATTGCTTTTAGAGAGGAAAGGAGAGAGACAGAAACATCACTTATGAGAGAGAATCGTTGATTGGCTGCCTCCTGCATGCCCCACAGTGGGGATGGAGCCTGCAACTCGGGCATGTGCCCTGATTGGGAATCAAACCGTGACCTCCTGGTTCATAGGTCAATGCTTAGCCACTGAGCCATGCCGGCCAGGCAAAACAGAACATTTCTTACTTTTCAGCCACTGCCTCAGGATAGAGGTGAAGTAAGTGGCCCCCCAAATTCCTTTCATTTTATTATATTTTGTACCCCCTTGTCTTTTTCATCTGATATCCTCAGGGTTTTCTGCAGCCAAACTGGATGTATGTGTCTATCTGTCCGATGACCCACCCACACGGCCGCCATGGGTGGTAATTCATGTTCCTGGGAACAGCCTGGAGGTGGCTTGGGTTCCTACAGGGACTGATCAGGGGGAGATGAAACCATGCTCGGTATCCAGGAAGCTTTCCAAATTGGTGGCAGATCGCTCCTTGTGGCCCAGAGAGGGATCTGTCAGCATTCATAATAAAAATGGAGACGGAGGAGGGAGGCCGAGGCAGCAGAAAGAGGTCCCTGGGGAGTGTGAGTCAGGCCCCAGCTGGTCCTGCTTTCCTCTTTATTCTTTCTTCTCTTCCTCGCTCTAGACCCAACTCCTCTTGGCGAGGGAGGGCTGTGATTAAAGCCATCCATCCGGGGCATCATTTATGCACCCCCTCATGCATCGGCTCAGCAAAGAGCTGCTGAGCACCTGCGACACCCCGGGCACTGTTCTCGATGCTGGGGACACAGCAGGGAACAAGGCAATGAGTCTGCCTTCATGGAGCTTAGATAGTGGGGGAAGCAGACGGCAAACAAATACATAAAACACTGAGATGCGTGCAGGAGACCAGGGGCCCAGGCCGGAGAGAGGAAGTGTTGGGGCAGGTAGCCATGTGGGTTGTGTAGACAAGGGTCCTAGCACGAAGACCTGAGGGAAAAGGGGGTGAACCAGAGGGGTGAGTGAGGGGGGTTTCAGGCAGGGAACGTTAAGTGCACAGGTCCCGCGGTAGGAGCGTGTGGGTGTGCTCAAAGACACACGAGGACCCTGCCCAGGAGAAGCATGGCTTTGCCTTTGCGCTCTGGTCTCCACCAGGGTCTGGAAAGCTCCCGGAAGAAGCTTCGCTGGGGCAGAAAAAGTCTTTTCCTATAAACCAGGGCCCCTGCTTTCTTGTAAGACTTGATTCACGTTGTCAGAGGGGAGGCTGACAGACAGATTCACATTGTCAGAGGGGAGGCTGCGCTGTCCTGCGCTTGTGCTAATCAAAGATGGAACTAGGCTGGGAGAGCTGCTGGCAGCAGCGCCTGCTGGTGTGAAAGTCACACCTTCCTCCGTGCGTGCGTGCGTGCGTGGCAGGCTCTGAAATTGCTGAGAAGCACTGGCGAGGAGGATAGGTTCAAAACCTGGGGTGGGGAGAAATGGGCTTTTTTTTTTTTTTAGCCAGTAAAGATGCCTTCTGTAACACTCTTCCTTTTTCTTTTGCCCCCTTTTTCCAAGATAGGTTGAAATCCAGGACAGACAGACAGAGCCGTCTTTAGGCCTCCACCATCACAGGCTAACCACTCCGCCTGCCACTCTGCCTGCTGCCTCTGGAGCCCTCCCAGGAGGCCTGCCCAGCCTGTGTTAGGAAGCCTCCATTCCTGCCCCCATCACACTTCTGCCTCTTTGAGGCCAAAGAATGAGTTCTGCCTGGGCGGGGGGACCCCACCCAGAGGGTCCTCACCTAAACAGCACACCCTTCCCTAGGAATCCCCCATCCAACAGCCCAGTTTTCCTTCTGGGGACAGTGATTCCAGATGTGCCCTGGGCCAGCACCGTCTGTGACCTTCCTGCTGGGGAGGGTGAGGAGAGGTCTGGCACATTGGAAAACTTTCGACTTGACTCCTCTTGGCGAGTCAGTAACTCCAAGGTAACCCTTTGCAGGTAAACACAAGTCCATCTCATAGCTGCTGCCGCATGCTTGGATCCCAGTGTAGAGCAGGGCGGAGCTGTGTGCGGCACCAGGAGGGGCGGCTGTGGATGCAGTCCTAGCTGCACAGGACTCGAGGAGTTAGAGGCGTATAAGACTCAGGCAGACAAGTTTAGCTGTGCTTGAAGAAGGAGGAGGAAATGAAGAAGGAAAAGGAAAAAGAAGCCTTGATGTTTGTGCCAAGGAGAAACCGGGTAGCTGGGAGGTTCCGCCATGACCTTGTGTGGCGGAAGCTGCTGGCAAAGCTTCCCTGGGTCAAGGCTGTTAAGTGAATCCCGTATTTGCTTTCACGAATAAATGTGGGTCTTCAGGAAATGGCTTCAAAATAAGCCCCGGACACAAACTATTTGTAAATTATGTAAATTCCTATTTATCTGTATGATTGGGAACAACTAGGAATTGTTACAGGTGCCCTCCTACACCCCAAGGGCCCCCCTCCCCCATCTTGTTCAGCTGTATGGTGTCCCAGCCAGGCTGAGGTGACTGTGTCTGAGCCTGTGGTTGGGGGTGAGCTCCTGCGGGGCCCAGGCCACCTGTTTCCCCTCCAAGGCAGACTGGCCTTGGGGTGTGTGCTGAGGTCTCGACATGGGGGAGCTTAGGGTGATGAATGACAGCGTTGGCCTTGACCAGATGTTAATTCTCCCTGAGCACCCTAAGTTCTGACAGGTGTGACGGTGAATGTCTCCCCCCGGGACACCGAGGGCGGTTGCTGGCAGGCTCCCGGATAGTCTAGAGAAGCAATTATTTATTGTGAAGCTCTCCTCTCCTCCGAGGGCTTCATGCGGCTGTTCAAAAGGAAGCTGCTCTGCATAGAGAGAATTTACATTGTGTTCTGAACCCAAGCTCATGTTCCTTGAAGTTTGAATTACATTTTTTAAATGCATCCTCACAGTTTGGCTCAGTGGCAAGACTATCTCGGCGAGAATTCCATGCATTGTGCTAAACTCACGAAATACTGCCGAATGCATAATAAAAAGGTCTCAATGTTTCCTCAGATTTGTGGGGTTTTTTTGTTTTGTTTTGTTTTGTTTTTTCTGCTTGTGTTGTAGGCCGGCTATGCATCAGCATTCCCTGGACCTCGGGGAGGACGGAGGCTGTTAGCGTTCAGGAAGCAGACTCCATCTAAAATCAAGTTTGGAGCTAGGCGAGCGAGGGGCTGCTTACATACTAAGGCAGGAGAAGAGTTAGGGGACATCTGAGGGAAATAAGGCTTTCCAGGTGGCCGGGAGGAGACAGTGTGGGGAAAGAGCTGACTGCTCCCCCTGGCATCACTGCCCACCTCATGGGATGCAGGGCCTTCTGTCCTGGGCCCGGGCAGGCGGCAGGTCCAGGGCAGGCCCCGGAGCAAACAACCTTGGCCAGCAGCCCAAGGCCAACCTCTTCCCCTTTCAGGGGCATTTTGTTGCGCTCTGTGCTCACAGTTCTTGAGAATTAGTAGCCAGGAGTGTCCACATTTTGTCTGATCTTCTCTACCAATTGCAATGTTCTTAAGCCTTCAGAGACTGAGGAGACATCTCTGGGAGTTGGGAGTGTGAGGAAAGAGGGGGTTTTCTTCATTTTAGCTTGCCCTCCCTTTCTCCTTCCCCCTCCCTCCCTCTTTCTCTTTTTCCTTTCTTTTCAGTCAACAACCAGAGACTATCAGAGGCAGGGAACCGGACAGAGAGGCCCAGCTAAAGAGCAGAGAGGAATCCAGTGCTCTGAGTGGGTTTTATCACATTGACTCTGAGAAACCCGAGAGCCTCTTGGCTTAACTGAACTCATTGTAGAGGAGTCTGACTTTGGTGAACTGATGGCGATGGGCGCGAATTTATTCTGCAGGAGGTGAAGCTGCACGAAGGGCTGCCCGTGTTTACCGAAGGCCGGGTCAGGGCCTGGGACCCCGGAGCCTACAGACTCCACAGACCCCGAGGCAAGGGGGGGGGCTGGCTGGGCAGGAATCCGGTCCCAGACATGCTGGCATTTCTGCGATCTGGGTGGAGCCAGAGGGGAGTCTGTGGAGCTGCGAGCAGGACCTGCAGCAGGACTAGCAGGCTCTGTGCAGAAAGCAAACGCAGGGCTACTGGCTCAAAAGCACCGAGGAGTTCAAGATGGTGACAGCACAGCACTGAGCCAAGCAGGCCCACAGAGAGCCAGGCCCTCACCTGCCCAGGCTGTACCCTGTGAGCCCCAGCAGAAAGGGCTGTTGAGTCTAGAGACCTGGCTTTGCCACCAAACCCCTGAGGGGGACAGACCTTCACCTGAGCCTCCATGTCTTCACTTATAAAAAGGTGGGATGAGACCACCTTGCCTACTCCACAGCTCTGTCCAGAGGTCAAATGGAGAGAAACGATGGTTTTAAAACTCAGTAAATGTTTTAAAACCCTGAAGGCAAAGGCACAGACTTCCGCTCTGCAAAGTTTGCCTCAAAGTAATCACCAGCTCCTATTGTTACTAAAAGTTTTGCATGGAAGCACATCTTTGAACTTAGAATGTTCTTCAAAGTAATAGAATTTGATTTATCAAAATTGTCAGGTTAATTACTTTTTACCCCAGAAGACAGTTATTCTCTAAATCCCAAATTCTTTTATATGACTCTTTAGTATCTCAATGCTTAAGAGAGATCAAGTTACCTGTTATTCAGACCATTATAAACCCACGGGTCCTGCAGTCACTGAATATGCAATTCCTTTATTCTTTGCTGGCAGGAGCACTCAGAATTGTCGGGATCTGAGTGGTTTTCGGTGCGGGGAAATTGTGAGAACCAGGAACTGTCAGGGATGGGAATGAATGAAGGCAGCGCCCTGTGCGAGGCACGCCTCATTCATCCTTCCAGAACAATGCAGCACTGAGCGAGTGACAAGAGGTGGGGGGATAAATGGGAGAGGCAGAGGCATTAAAGCTTCATGTCAGAGAGAAAGCGTCCCATGGGACAGTGGAGGTGTTTAATGATCATGAAATTGCCGCCTCCACTCTGTTCCTTCCTCTTTCTCTTCTCCTTCCTCCCCTTCCCCGTTTCCTCCCCCGTCTCCACCAAAGTGAAGCTACTTCATGCCAATTCCTATTGAGGTGCATGGTTGTCAAGGGCCGGCAGGGCCGAGTCCAGCTCCTGGTGTTGGCAGGGCTTGCACATCCTCCGTTGGAGCACCACACCCTGCTCAGGACTCCTGCTGGGCTTGTCTCCTGGGGGGTACTCACCCCATCTTCTCCCCTTCTCCCTCCATGACACCCTCAAGACAAATGTCCCCTTTGGTTATCCTGGCATTGGGTGTGCAAATTTATCAGTTCTACCAACCCTTGCCCCCGATCAGGTTGGCTACCTCTCTGGAATGACTCAGAGACCTCAGGAAAGTTCTCTTGTTCCTGATTTTGGCTTTATTATAAAGGCTACCACTCAGGAACAGCCCAGTGGAAGAGAAGCAGAGAGCAGGTTCCTGGGAGAGGGGGCGTCAAGGTGGCCAGACCTTCCATGCTCTCTCTAAGCCCACCACCAGCTCAGCACATTGATCTACTCACCAATCTGGAAATTCCCAAGCCCCATTAGGGTTTTTTTTATTTTATTTTATTTTTTTTTTATCAAAATCTCATTGCCAACATCATTGATTAAACAGCTGGCGACTGTGATTGCTGTGTAAGCGCCCCAGACTCAGCCATCTCATTGGCACACAGAAGACAATCAATTCTGAAGGTCTTAGGTTCTTTGTGCCAAGAATTGGGGGCAAAGACCCACTATCGATTTTTTATTATCATAAACCCACACTTTTTTGTGTCTCACTTTTTTTTTTAATTTCTTTAATAGATCTGAGAGATGGTGTATGCATCTTGGCCCACTGATGGCAATTGGATGGCTTTCAATATTTTGTTATGACAAAGAATATGAAGAGTAACCTCACAATTGCCAATTTGTACGCGTGTGAGTCTATCTGTAGAATAGATCCCTAGTGAGATTGTTGTGTTAAAGGGTAAATACTCCCATATTTTGGGTAGATATTATCAAACTTCAGGAATGTATTCTTATTACCCCATCTTTAGATAAGTAACCTAGTTGAGGCTTGAAAGATGAAGCAATTTTCCCGAAGTGACCCAGACAATGAGGTAAAAATGGTCCTGACTAATTTAGGAGACAGGAGGAGGGATGGACGGGAACCAGAAGTGCTAGGGAGAGCAGGTGAGGAGCTCAGTAGCTGGACCACCCTACCCGTACCAAACAGCAAGTGGAGTGAGGGCCGGTTTGGAGGGAGTGGGAGCCACTGAGGGCTGTGGACCATCTCCCCCTGCCCACATATTCCTGGAAGGGTGTGGCTTGTCCCAATTAAGCCCCAGTTAATTGATTATCTGTCTAAACTTAGTGGGACAAACGCAGGTGACCAGGAGTCAGCAATAATGGCCTATCCCCTGGTACTTCAATGTCTAGACAGCTAAGCCGAATGGAAACACATGACACAGAGACAGAATTGGTATGAAATCACACAGGGTTTAGTTACCTATTCCTAGTGGGTCCTGGGCTCCAGCAAAGGCCACTCAGCCAATCACACTGAAGGACAGACAATGAAAACAGAGACAGGCAAGCGGCTACAGTTGACTCAGGCTCAC